TCAAAAGTGAGAACGCATCATGAAATAACTATCATTGTTTAAAAACTGACTTCGTTTTCATTTGCTTCACACTGTTAGAAAAGAAATTTTATTCACTTTTTCAACCTTTCCTTTTTCACTTTTTTGAAGAAGCAAAAATGCTTTCCTTTGGGAGTAGACGTTACGTATAATTTATAAATGAGAATGCTAAATGAATTAACTTTATCACGGCATAACGCAACTGACTTTATTCTTATTTAATCATTGAATTGATGCTGATTGAAGTAAATGTTATTTTATTCATTTATTCCTGCATTGTAATAAATGAATAAAATAACATTTATTATATTACTGGGAAATAACAACAGTAAATGTTTTGAATTGAAGGTAGGCGTTACTTTTCTTATATCCAATTCCGATATCAGAAGGCAAAGAAACAACTATTATTGTTCAAGAACTGATTTCATTCTTATTTAATGACGTAATTCATACTGATAGAAATAAGAAATAGCGCGAAGAAAGAAGGAGTTAAAATATGTATAAAATTTACAAAATGAAAAAAGAATAATTATCAAACTAAATGCCGTGCCGCTAATAATTTGAAAAAATAATTATTTTTAAAAATCCTCAGGGGTGAGAAGTAAAAAGAGTTTCAGAAAATATCTTCTCTAGTAGTGGTAGGCTAATGTATTATTGAATTAGAGGTAAAAGCATATTTTAAGTCCTTCGGCCCACTTATGCACATTCAAATATACCAATGTGTAAAGGTATTACAGACAAATCTAACAAATTCTTACAAAAACTGCTTCAGTTCATTCCCACTGGAGTAAAAAATCACAAAAACCTTAAATAGTTAGAGCCTCTGGTTGAGCAAAATTAAACTATACGAAAATCAGCATCAAACGATGTTGAAAAAAANCATTTTCAATCCAATTTTTAGCTCTAATATTTTATACCCCGATTTAAATATTATAGAATATATTAATATTTTCTTCTTAGCAAAAATAAGCAACTAATGGATTTTTCAAGTTCCCGTTCCCAGTATCCGAAAATTGCAATATTTGTATTTAAAATAGTTCCGGGAAATGGTCAGAACTATTTGCGAAACTTTTATGGCACATTATAATCTAACAAAAAAATAACTTCTTTCAAATAATCTTTTTGTACCACTTGTATTTTCATATCTATATTTAGTACATTTCTAATTTTTATAGTAGAGTAGAGTCTTGGCCAATTTCTTTTATTAATTAAATAAGCCATCTTGAGAGTAAATCACTCTCGGGATGGGTGGCAAAAAGTAAAAGCGATTTTGATTTTAGTAGATTCACACCGTATCTCGAATACCGTGTTCCGGCTTTTGCTTACAGAGTGCGTTGACAATGGTAACGCCCACTTATGTAAGTTATTTTCTATGTTTAAGCATTGTTTTCATTTTGAGGTAGGTGTAACTTTTCCTATATCCTATTCAGAAGTGAGAACGCATCATGAAATAACTATCATTGTTTAAAAACTGACTTCGTTTTCATTTACTTCACACTGTTAGAAAAGAAATTTTATTTACTTTTTTGAAGAAACAAAAATGCTTTCCTTTGGGAGTAGACGTTACGTATAATTTATAAAATTCATAAATGAGAATGCTAAATGAATTAACTATCACGGCATAACGCAACTGACTTTATTCTTATTTAATCACTGAATCGATGCTGATTGAAGTAAATGTTTTTTTATTCATTTATTCCTGCATTGTAATAAATGAATAAAATAACATTTATTATATTACTGGGAAATAACAACAGTAAATGTTTTGAATTGAAGGTAGGCGTTACTTTTCTTATATCCAATTCAGATATTAGAGGGCAAAACAACTATTATTGTTCAAGAACTGATTTCATTCTTATTTAATGACGTAATTCATACTGATAGAAATAAGAAATAGCACGAAGAAAGAAGGAGTTAAAATATGTATAAAATTTACAAAATGAAAAAAGAATAATTATCAAACTAAATGCCGTGCGTGCCGCTAATAATTTGAAAAAATAATTATTTTTAAAAATCCTTAGGGGTGAGAAGTAAAAAGAGTTTCAGAAAATATCTTCTCTAGTAGTGGTAGGCTAATGTATTATTGAATTAGAGGTAAAAGCATATTTTAAGTCCTTCGGCCCACTTATGCACATTCAAATATACCAATGTGTAAAGGTATTACAGACAAATCTAACAAATTCTTACAAAAACTGCTTCAGTTCATTCCCACTGGAGTAAAAAATCACAAAAACCTTAAATAGTTAGAGCCTCTGGTTGAGCAAAATTAAACTATACGAAAATCAGCATCAAACGATGTTGAAAAAAACGTTTCAATGAACTCAGAAGACTTCTACAATTAAATGTTAGAATGTGTACTTAAAAATATAGTGAATTTTGGATATGAGTTTTTCCGAAGTACCTGCCCACGGCACCTCACTTCTTCATCTGTAATATATAGCCCTAGGGCAACGATGACTAGTGACTTTAAAATGAAAAGAAGAATTTTCCGCAGGATGGCTGTGGACGTCTTGAAGAACATGTTGGGGGCCGTTTAAAAAGTACGCACACAAAAATGGAGAAATTGTAACTCCCTCCTCCCCTTTCGTACATTACCGTACAAAAGGTTTTACTCCCCCCCCNCCCCCTAGAGTACGTACATTTTATTAGTCTACCCCCCTTTTTCATAAAAATTAAAATAATTATGTTTTTAATAAAATTTAATATTTATTTAAGGAGTGTGTAGGAAAAAGTCAAACTTAAATTTGGTGTATGCTTATAACGTACGTACTTTGTATAATACCTCCCCCCCTCCCCATCGTACAAAACAGTACTAAATAGCAAATCCCCTCCTCCCCCCTTCGGGATGTACGTACTTTTTGAACGGCCCCTATGGGCTTTGAGGAGATCTCTGAGTCTATAACTTGTCGGTAAGCAGAGATCGGAGTAAATTCAGGAGATCTGGATCTTTGAGAAGTTGCTGCAGTTCTTTAAATAACAGGAAGAATCTGGTGGCTTTGTCCGAGGCTTTTGTAGGCTTGGTGGATCGTCCTCTGGATTTTCCTTTAGCTCTTGCGCCGCAGCCCGAAAGAAAGGTTGGGTGCACACCCAGGCAGTTTACACACATCGCAGGCTCACTTGTTGGTTTTGTGCACTTGAATGTGCATTGGCACGCTTCATAGAAGCAGGCTCAGCTGTGCATCTGACTTTTGTGTGTGTCCGAAATTTTGACATCGGAAGCACTGTATTTCGTGGGGCCCGCCACGAAATCTCTCTATCTTAACAGGAGTATCTAACAGTCTCTTGATATTGAAGATTCTTGATTTTGATTTCCATTATCTGGCAAGATGACTAGGTGGAGAGGGAGGAGCTTAAGTTCCCGTATTTCTGTTTTTGTTCCAGTATTTTCACGGTGAGGCTTTCAAAAATGTTACAAAAATCTTAAAAATTCCGTAAGCTTTCGATTTTAAATGTCTACCGCTTTATAAATATTCAGCAAAAAGCGTATTATTTGGCAATCCTGGAATTCAGGCTTGATCTACTTTCAATTTTAGATTCACAGCACCAGAAGGAAACACCTCCAGGAACTCATGAAGGGGTAAAGGGCCGTTCCGGCCTCAGGCACCCCGGCCAACCAACAAGACAAGATTCGGGTTTGCGAGACGTAAAAGCTGAAGATTTTCTTCAGCTTTCACTGAGACAAAAAGCGAAGCAAAAATTGTTGACGACTAATAAAAATTACTCGCACTCTAATTTTGGAACAGGCATTTTCATCCCATGATTTTGAGGGACACAGCGAGTATCTGAAACTTATATTATTAGCACAAATCTAGTTAAGTAACGTTTCTCTCAGTATTTTCGCTTTCAATTCAATTTGCAACTCTAATGAATTATACACACCTGATTAAAATAGTATAGATTATTTACAGATTAAAATATTTTCTTCTTTTCAAAAAAGAAAAAAAAAAGTTTATGAATTTTTCAAGTTTTTAGTGTCAGAAAATAGCTATGTTTGTACGTTTAATAGCTCGGTGCAAATTATCAGAGCAATTTACGAAACTAAGATGCACATTATAGCTAAAAAACTTTGAGACAATCTCTTTCTACCTTTTGTATTTGCATATCTATATACATAATATTTCTATATTTAACAAATTATCATTTTCATTATTTATCCCCCATATTGTTTATTGATACCTCGTCCCACCCTATTAAGGGCACACGAGAGATTTATCCCCCATATAATAAGCTCTCTTGAAAATAATCATTCTCGGATGGGCGACAACGAAAAACACACATACTTATTTCATATATAAAAAAAAAAAAAAACACTCGCAATTTAATGAAATAAAAAGTTAAAACACGACAATATGGGTAAGGAGTTAGTTTACTGTGAAATGTAAACAAAAAATAATTGCGGTCATCTGCTAAAATATTTTTGGATCAAAGTCTAAATTAAAAATAAGAAATAATAATTGTTCTTTATTTATAGCTTCGAAATGGGCTACAGTTGGCGTGAAGCAGATTTCTCACCCTATGGCAAACACTTCTCATGCTTTCACCAGTGGAGTGTCATATGGGGAAGGAAATACGTTAGTTTCTGTCTTGATTAATCAAATCGAGATTGAAAACTTTTAAATTAGGAAACATATTGTATATCGAAACTAAAATTGCATTGAACATAGAGTTCTAAAGAAATTCCAGTCGTGAGAATTAAAAAAAAAAAATTTTCTTGACAATTAATTACGAAAAATAATAAGAAAAGGGAAAATATCGTTTCCTTTACAACTGAGAAGATAGAAAAGAAGAATCCTTTTTCTCCCCCAGATGATGTATTCAAGCATTTCAAATTAATGCATACTAGTTTTAAAAATGTCTCATATCCTTAGAATATGAAAATGGATACAAAAGCATGTTCTTAAACTTAAATTATTAGCTCAAATGGTAAATCCACAACAAGAAGGCATCATTTATATGAAAGTTTAGTGCATATTTGTACTTACGTTGGCATGTTCTATTTACTTCGTAAAATCCAAAATAGCAATTGCATTCAGTTCCATTAACTCCTACAGTACAATTGGAATGGGGACCACAGCATTCACCGGATACTGGAAAAAAAAACATTTTTTTTTTCAATGTTAACGTTTTCATTGACAAAGTAAAGGATGAGATTTTACAATTGTCGTTGAACAGCTGACAAAATTTTTGCGTTTACGACTACTAATGTTCAACTACGTAGCTTTATGATTTTGAACCCAATTCAAAAGGCAAGGGAACTCTTGTATCAAATATTGGGAGAAATTTGCCTTCGATGAGTACATTTTGATGGAACTAGCCCATATTTGCGTTACATGGAGAGAAAGACCACGAGAAACTCCCACGGCCAGTCTGACGGCAAGGGGATTCTGCCCCACGAACCGTCTACCACTGAGGATATTTTGCGTCAGCACCATATATGGCAACGTTACTTTTAAAAAGTAACGAGTAAAAGTACAAGTATTTTTAAAAAAAGTAACTAGTAAAGTTCTTATTTTAAAAAGTAACGAGT